CTGTTTTACTCTATTATTTTCTACTGTATTCTGTTCTATTCTTTTATTCTATATTCTGTTTTTTTTCCTCTATTCTCTGCTATTCTTTTCTATTATTTTATTTTCTATTTTATTCTATTCTTTTCTATTCCTTTATTTTCTGTTCTATTTTGCTCTGTTTTACTATTACTATTCTATTCTAATTGCCTATATTCTATTCTTTGAGTTTCTATTCTAATCTTTTCTATTCTATTCTAATGAATTCTATTATTCTCTGTTCCTTTATTTTCTATTCTATTTTGTTCTGTTTTACTTTATTATTTTCTACTGTATTCTGTTCTATTTTTTTATTCTATATCCTGTTCTTTTTTCCTCTATTCTCTGCTATTCTTTTCTATTTTATTTTCTATTTTATTCTATTATTTTCTATTCCTTTATTTTCTGTTCTATTTTATTCTATTCTTGTTTTCAAATTTGAATTGGTTTTCAAATTTTAATTTGTTTTCTATAATTTGAATCAATTAAAATTTTGGCTGAATTTTGTTTTCTGTATCTCAGATTTGTTTAAATTTGTTACTCTTGTAATTCGGATACATCCAAATCTCCGAATAATGGAAAATTTGTCCAAATTTCAATTCAGAACGAACTGAACATGTCTATGGCACACAGGAGAAGATGCTGGTGCCAGAGGGACCGTTGGAATGGTGATCATCTCTGCCTTTAGTTCTGCTTTACTTAGTAGAGTTCCATATTAGTTATAAATAAAGTGGAACGTTTGGAGTTTAAAGGATAAGTGCACCTTTGGAAACATGTTACATGTTCCACTTATTTTTGAGGTGGAACATGTAACATGTTCCCATTCCTGCAGCCACTCCCGGATCCTCCTCCTCCATGTGACAGTAGGTTGGGGCACTTCTCCCCACACCCACTGCCACTATTTGAAAAGAGCATGGCCATGTGAAGCTCCATCCAAAGTTCTGTGAATAAAAGAACTACAAGTACAGACAGCCTTTGCGGCTGACTTCTTGAAGTTCTCAATGAACTACCATGAACTCTCTAAGCAGTTCATTGATTCTTCCTGTCATTGTGTTACTGCTTGCCCGTAGGAGCAGACAGCTTACACTGACAGTCTGCAGGAGCTCTGCATTACACTTGTAGTCTGCTGATCGAGAAGATGAACCTATCTTTTAGGCAATATCCTTTATTGGCCAACTTAAGTCATTAAAGATGCAAGCTTTCCATACACGTTTGTAAGGGGGACCACGATTGACCAACTTTTGGCACCAAATTATTAGAACCTCCACCCAGCTTTCTGGATGGGACAGTGACCCTCTGCTGGTAGATAGAAGCCTTCCCATATTGTGTCCAATAACTGGCCATAAGCCTGCTCACGACATCCCTGGCCTTGACCTTTATATTCATAAAGAAAGGAATGTCCACACAAGAACTATATTTTCCACATTTTACTGTAGCTTGGGAAGGTGGCAGTGATATGTAACATCACTCAGTCACTCAGGTGAAGAGCGCTGGCACAGTTATTAAACCATCTCCCTTTAGCATCTCCTCTCTCCTCTCCTTGGAAGCACCACGGTGTTGGGACCCATTTCCCTGTATACTAGACTCCTCAGCATTTCGCTTCTGTCAAACCAAGATTAACAAGGTAGTCTTCTGTAGTATGCCAGTCTCTCTCTCTGTCCCATCCAGGCACGCTCCCTGATGTTACTCTCTCTCTCCAGGGGTACTAGTACTCATGTCAGAGAACACTTAGCTGGGCCTAAAAGGCCTTTTGCATAGCACTCACAGTCCACTTAAGACCATCACAAGAGTCAGGGTGACTACACCTGGTTCTTCTGGGTGTTAAACTACCTCACCTGGGGCTTCAGCTCTGTTAAGGGCCCTTGGAAGCATAGCCATACAAAGCAGTGTGCTTACAGTATAAAGCATGCACTAGCTGTATGGATTTGAGCACAGGGATCTCTTGTTTGTTGTATTGTTGGGTCAGTAGCCAGACCTGAACCTTGTAGCTCTCCCCATTGTGTCTTTTCCCCTATGCTAGCATTGTGTCCACAGTAGCACTTGCGTAGGCAGGGCAGAGTAGGACTGGCCATAGAGGGATTACTTTGACGCAGTTGGCCAGCTTAAACATGTATTGCAATATGTGTGAACCAAATATCCCTATTTGTTGCATAGTTTGCTTGAAAGGGTATATACCAGTGTGCAGAGGGTCCTTCAGAATTTCTAGAGTTAATGTGGTTTACACCCCTTTAGCACCTGATGGATAAATGCATGCACTAGCTGTATGGATTTGAGCACAGGGATCTCTTTGTTTGTTGTATTGTTGGGTCAGTAGCCAGACCTGAACCTTGTAGCTCTCCCCATTGTGTCTTTTCCCTATGCTAGCATTGTGTCCACAGTAGCACTTGCGTAGGCAGGGCAGAGTAGGACTGGCCATAGAGGGATTACTTTGACGCAGTTGGCCAGCTTAAACATGTATTGCAATATGTGTGAACCAAATATCCCTATTTGTTGCATAGTTTGCTTGAAAGGGTATAACATGCGCGGTCTTTACCAGTGTGCAGAGGGTCCTTCAGAATTTCTAGAGTTAATGTGGTTACACCCCTTTAGCACCTGATGGATAAATGCATGCACTAGCTGTATGGATTTTGAGCACAGGGATCTCTTGTTTGTTGTATTGTTGGGTCAGTAGCCAGACCTGAACCTTGTAGCTCTCCCCATTGTGTCTTTTCCCCTATGCTAGCATTGTGTCCACAGTAGCACTTGCGTAGGCAGGGCAGAGTAGGACTGGCCATAGAGGGATTACTTTGACGCAGTTGGCCAGCTTAAACATGTATTGCAATATGTGTGAACCAAATATCCCTATTTGTTGCATAGTTTGCTTGAAAGGGTATATACCAGTGTGCAGAGGGTCCTTCAGAATTTCTAGAGTTAATGTGGTTACACCCCTTTAGCACCTGATGGATAAATGCATGCACTAGCTGTATGGATTTGAGCACAGGGATCTCTTGTTTGTTGTATTGTTGGGTCAGTAGCCAGACCTGAACCTTGTAGCTCTCCCCATTGTGTCTTTTCCCCTATGCTAGCATTGTGTCCACAGTAGCACTTGCGTAGGCAGGGCAGAGTAGGACTGGCCATAGAGGGATTACTTTGACGCAGTTGGCCAGCTTAAACATGTATTGCAATATGTGTGAACCAAATATCCCTATTTGTTGCATAGTTTGCTTGAAAGGGTATATACCAGTGTGCAGAGGGTCCTTCAGAATTTCTAGAGTTAATGTGGTTACACCCCTTTAGCACCTGATGGATAAATGCATGCACTAGCTGTATGGATTTGAGCACAGGGATCTCTTGTTTGTTGTATTGTTGGGTCAGTAGCCAGACCTGAACCTTGTAGCTCTCCCCATTGTGTCTTTTCCCTTATGCTAGCATTGTGTCCACAGTAGCACTTGCGTAGGCAGGGCAGAGTAGGACTGGCCATAGAGGGATTACTTTGACGCAGTTGGCCAGCTTAAACATGTATTGCAATATGTGTGAACCAAATATCCCTATTTGTTGCATAGTTTGCTTGAAAGGGTATATACCAGTGTGCAGAGGGTCCTTCAGAATTTCTAGAGTTAATGGGTTACACCCCTTTAGCACCTGATGGATAAATGCATGCACTAGCTGTATGGATTTGAGCACAGGGATCTCTGTGTTTACAGTATAAAGCACTCACACAGCAAAACAGCACACAATTAACCCTTTGATCGCCCCACATGTTAACTCCTTCCTGCCCATTGCCATTAGTACAGAGTCAGTGCTTTTTATTCACTGTATTGGTGTCACTGGGGATGTCTGTGACACCAGGTCAGTTCCCCCCAGTGTCAGAATGCCCACCGCAGTCCTGCTATAAGTCACTGATCGCTGCCATTACTAGTAAAAATAAAAATTATAGTATATATACCGCCATTTGTAAACGCTATAATGTTCATGTAAACCAATTAATTTACACAGGAATTTTTTAGCAAAGACATGTAGCAGAATACATTTTGGCCTAAATTTATGACATTTATTTTTTTAAAATTTTTTACTGGACATGTTTAATAGCAAAAGGTAAAAAAGATAATTTTATTTTCAAAATTGGCGGTCTTTTTTTGTTTACAGTGCAAAAAATAAAAAACACAAAGGGGATCAAATACCACAGAAAGAAAGCTCTATTTGTGGGGAAAAAAAGGACAAATTTCATTTGGGTGCAGCGTTGCATGACCGCGCAATTATCAGTTAAAGTAATGCAGCACTGTATAGCAAAAAATGTCCTGGTCAGGAAGGGGGGTAAATCCTCTGGAGGGCAAATAGTTAATGAATGAATGAATGAACAAACCCACAAAACTAGAATGAACACTCAAACCTAACTCCTCATAACCATATCTACATCATATTTAACCACATGTACTGATCTCTATAGCTACGCAAGATTTTTGGACACATACAGTAAACATAGGATTTGTGGGTACAAACTGAACAAGGTTTTACAAAGGAAGAAGGTAAGTGGTTGTGATATTATCAAGTTAGCTGATATTCTGTCTAGAATTTCTGTTTGAGAGAACTAATAACCATCATTCTGGGGTCTCCAGGGTGGCTAATATTTTTTATAAGGCTGCATAATTTTGTCACCCTGTGGCAACCGTCCTCCTCATTACAGATTTACAGTCATATTCAATAAAGAGTACTGATTCTTTAACTTGAACTTGTGGCCTACTAAAAGACTGGAAACTGTGTGGCACCACAAAGAGGAAGCCATATCCAGGAGCCCTGAAACACAAAGCACTCTATTATACAAATGTCAGCATCAGTTCCTGAAGTCATCCTTAGTCTTACTGCTTCCCATCTTATTCTTAGCCAATAGCTATGCCCAATGGCCTAAATTACCATAAAAAGACACAGATAGCACTAGGAATGGGAGGAAAATATACGAAATAGCTGTGTGTGTTAATAAATGAGTGTGTCTTTCAAAAGATACATACATGTGAGTCAGATTCTTCATTGGCTGGAACATTCTTGTGCTTATATTCGGAATTTCGATTTTTTCCAGAGCTCTAAAAAATAAATTTTCATTCAGTTTAATGTAATTATTTTATGATACATTTTTAAATAGATTCTATAAAAAATATACTGTAAACATGAGTGACATGGAGTACAATAAGTGTACACCTATACAGACTGTTTACATAATAACACTGTGTAAGTACATACATAAGAGAACATTTCTATACTGGATATATTCATGATTCCTTAGCAGTCTCCAAACCAGGGACAAAATGCTGCCCTTTGCCTGCCCTTATTCACCCTTGGGGGCACTATTCAATGCTGACACCAACAATAGGGTATCATTTTTGTCAATGACACCAACAATGGCTACTATTCTGCCCACTGACACTAAGGATAGGACACAATTCCCCTGCTGACAGCTGAGTGTAAACAAAAGAATTGGCTAAATGCCAGAAAAACAGACACAAAAACCACTGGGAAAAATGCTAGAAAAAACGCTAATATTAGTGTTTTTATCCAGCTTTTTTTCCAGCATTTTCAGCTCCTGGTGTGCATTGAGCCTAAGTTTGCATGCTTTGGTATTTATGCATTTAAGGGGTTAGTGTCTACCTTAATTATTTTGTATACAGTATATATGTAGCGTTATTCACACCTCAAGGGACAGCTGCCTTTTTATGGTTCACACATTTGTGGATAAAAAAGCGTTTTATTAGTATACCAACCCAGAAGTGCTAATTTTTATTGTGATTTTAAAGGCTCATAGTTTGTGACAGGGGCGGACTGACAACTCATGGGGCCCCCGGGCAATAGGGGATCATGGGGCCCCTGTGTCCTTGCCCAAACTCAAAAAAGCCTATGAAAAAGGTACCAGGGGCATCTCATGAGGCCCCCTACTGACCCCGGGCCCTTGGGCAGTGCCCGAGTTTCCAAATGGTCAGTCCGCCCCTGGTTTGTGAGTAATATATTAATAAAGCACTTTTATGTAATTACATTATAGAGATGCTTTTGTTTTCCATTTGAGCTTTGCTGGGCTGTGAATTAATAAGTGAGCTTTGAATGTGGTGGATTCTGTTCCTTTGCTGTACTGGTGGAAATGAAGGAGAGTGACAGGCTGATCCTAATGAGTGCTCTGTGTGACTCACTTTGTAAAAGAAGGGGTTGACAAATTTTGGTCAGCCTCCCTCTGTATATCATTGATGGTCCAGTTAAAGAGACAGTATCCCTAATGCTCTCATGTAACTCACTCACTTGTATGTTAAGTGAGTCAATTATATTTAGTGAGCGTTAGTAAAATCAGAAGATTATGCTGTATTAGTATTTAATAGTATGTGAATATAATTTAATTGTGCCATATTGGAATTATCAGATCTACTACACCATGAGAGTCTGTTTGTTACACTGGTTATGAGCTCATTGGGAGACAAACTGGGTCTGGAACAGTGAGCAAGAAGTCCCTTATAGGAATACAGAATAACTATTGTGGACATCCAAAGGGTGGATTTATCTAAGGGAAATGCCTATTTTGACTGTTATATGGATATATACTGTATGTGGATATTATAATGAGTCCTTTGGTCCAATGAGCCTTTTACTATACTGATCTATGCAAGTTATATTTGGACATCCTCTGAGGTTGAAAAGTACTCTGGACTGGAATATATAGTCTTATCAATACATTAACATATATTAATCTAAATCTGTCCCCTTGGCAAGCCCTTCTAAACCGACCTATAAAAAAAAAAAACGCCTACACATACTAAGAAATTAATATAATTTATTTTCTTAGCAGCTAGAATGGCAATTGTCAAATCCTGGAGATCCTCTTCTATAACGTTTCATTTGATCAAAACAAAGTTGTCATGGAATATGATAAATTAAAGATTAACTGCTATATTGAATGATAGCATGATTTTATTTAATGAAACATTGAAGCCTTGGGTACAGTGTCTTGCAAAGGACAGTAATTGATTCAATAGAAATTCATTTCAAATATTGTGCACTTATCATCTTCTTCTCTTATTTTTTAGCTTATCCCCTTCTTGATTTCTCCCTTTTCTTTTTTCTTTCTCACCCTTTTTTTAAAACCTTTAGGAATTCGCTAAAAACATTACGTGCCAAATATAATATATATATATATGTATATATTATACATATATATTTTTTTTCATATGACTTATTTTTTTCCTTTCACAGGACATTATTTGCTCATAATCCATTCACTTAACACTAGTTAACTTTCTAATTCCTGTAATTTACATGTAAAAGATATTGTTCTCTTTTCTGATTTTAAGATACTGCAATATGAAGTTATTTTTTTCCCTTTTAACATCTTTTCTGAGTCAAGGATCAAGTGGAAGAAAGTGTAGAGGAAATTTGATAAATAAGGGGTCAGTATATTTTGGTGAACCTTCAATTAGTTCCTTGTGGATATACTGAGCACCTGATAAAACCCACTGAAACTTTATACGATTGGTGTATTGGATTTTCACAGACATTACCTTTGAATTGTCACTTGATTTTATTTAACTTCACTTTAATTTATTTGATTTACCTTCAATCTAATCAAATGTGTTGAGCTCACAATATTTTGCTCATATTAGCATCTTATGAATGCATAGGTGTGTATATATTTATTTATTACAGGTACTTATATCGCGCCCTCAGTTTACGCAGCACTTTACATATATATTGTACATTCACATCAGTCCCTAACCCTCAAGGGGTGTACAATCTAAGGTCCCTAACTCACATTCATACATACACATACTAGGGCCAATTTAGACAGGAGTCAATTCACCTATCAGCATATCTTTGGAGTGTGGGAGGAAACCAGAGTATCCGGAGGAAACCCACGCAGGCACAGGGAGAACATGCAAACTCCAGGCAGGTGGCGCCATGGTTGGGATTTAAATCAGTACTGCCAGGCGGAAGTGCTAACCATTTAGCCACTGTGCTGCCCAGAGTGTATAGGAAATAGTCTTAGGAATGTGTAGGAGAAAGTACTGATACATACAGTATATTGTTATTTGAAAAGCATTGGGGTAATGTGCATTGTGAAGCTGATCTTATACTTGCATACATTTCTATCATAGTCTAAAATGTATGCTTGTAAAACAGGCTTTGAAGTCCAAACACTTGTGCCCTTAGCTCTGTGATAGTGGTCAGGATTTGCCTTTCAACACCATACAAATTTAAAATTGATTGATTTGTACACAATATTCTTTTAAAGAGGGACTTCACCTCTGTGTTATCTTCTTTCTAATCCCCTTATAACTTGTTCACTGAGTTATCCTCAAAATACATCCAGAGAATCTAGTGTTGTCCTGCTGCAATATGCTGATCCATCGCCGAATGCAGGGACCTGCACTGCCTGCACTTATGTCATCAGGGAGTGCTGTCTCTTCTGAGTTCCTGCAGCCAACTCCCTGATGATATGCATGTAGCACAGTGCATCATCAGGGGGCCAGCTTCAAGAATCAGGAAGACACAGCCGCCCGTCTTGACTTGCAGCGATGCATGCCCTGTACCCTGAGGCCTCTTGGGATACGTGATGTCAATATCCCAGGAGGTTGCAAGCCACTGGGAATCATTCTCACCTAGACAAGAATCCTTGGGGTGCAGGAAGAGGAAAATGGTATTAACAAAATAAAGAAAAAAAATAAATTAGGTAGGAGTGCAATGATGACAAGTACTGTAAGTGGGGAAGGTGAAGGTCTGCTTTCAGGATTATGCATTCCTCTTAAAACAGTGTATTCCCGAGTATGGCTGAAAATAGTTCTTCGGCTTTAAGGGTAAATAAATGAGAAGACATGCAGATAAATTTTGCAATGTGATGTCTAAGCTGTCACTACAAGCTTGGCTGAGACTGCAGGGTGATGCTGTTCAATGCAGGGGAAGTTGAAATCTAATCTTGACACTCTGAGTAATCCCGTATGCTTTGAGTGGAAGATTTGTATTGAGCTTCATTATAGAATACTTGCGCAGTTGGAAAAGTGTTTGCTTTTCATTGTATTGTGTTGCATTAAAGTGAATGCTGTCTTTAGCTTCTGTGAATGCATAGATTGCAATTACTCTGAATTGTGGGGGAGGTTTGGAACACCAGGATACAAAAAAATGGAGCAAAATGTCTAAATACGGCACTTTGTATACACATACCTATTATTTTATTTATGTGTGACAGATATAGATACATCATTTTAAATTTAACAGCAACAGTTAGGGCTTCCTCACAAAAAAAAAAAAAATCACTCAAAACATTTGAGCAGCTTTTGAAGTTTTTTCTGCAGTGCATTCAGTGCACTTGATAGGGAATTGGAAGCATTTGTTTGTAAAGGTACTGGAATGACAGTGATCTCTACTAACTTACAGTATGTAATATTCTCAGTCTACATCCTTTCCTGTACCAACTGTTTTTATTTAAGCAGAATTTCCAGGTATGGACACTTTTTACGGCAGGGTGGTGACAGCAGGCTCTCCATCTTGAGAATGCAAAGCATTCTCTGAATGGTGCCCGTGCTGAGCAGCAGACTTACTGAGTTCAGAATGCAGCAGGGCAGTTGCTCAGCACAGGAACTGGAAGCAAGTGGGGGTGACTGGAGTAGAGTTGTCTACTTCAGTGATTTCCAGCTTCCAGGAGCATTGGGCTGGTATGGTGTATTCATAGAGTGGCCCATATACAAAGACTTGGAGTGCCTCTCAAAGAACTGCAAAACTTCCCCCTGCAGTCCAAAGCACATATTGAGTGCCAACGTTCAAACAAGCTCATCCAACTAGGTGAAATAGATTGGAAGAGAGAAAGTGGAAATGTCACACTGCGGGCCCAGCTACCAGGCCCGGCTTGGCCATAGGGCACACCAGGCATTTGCCCGTGCCGCTCACCAAGCCTCTCCGCAGCCGGCTGGCCATCCATCCATTTAGTGCAGCTGCTGGGCTGCATGTCCTTGGGACTCGGAAAGCAGCTGTGGCAAATAGGCTGCTCTTTGAACCAGCGCTGCTCACCATGCCTCTCTACAGCCGGCCGTTCAGCTGTCAGGGCCAGGGGGCAGCA